ATACTCCGTGACATACATATCATTTTGTATTATTTCACTGTCAGAATAATGTAAACTGAGCAACAAGTCTGTGACAATTATAAAGAGCATAGTCTTACACTGTTCAAATATGAAGTATATGGATTTCAAAATAGTGATAATTTACTGAGTATCATTTACATTGCGTTCTGAGTGTCGTTCTAAATGACGCCAATAATAAATAATAATTTATAACACCCTTCATTACGAAGGATTCAAGAGTGTTTTTGAAACTTAAGACACTACAGACCTGATTTTCCACTGCTTTACACTTAGTATAGCCATTTACACCTGGATGAACTGGTTATAAAATGCTACCATTCTGATTTGATATACATACTGGTACTATATATCAATTCAGAATGGTAGCATTTGGTATCACATGCTCAGGCAAGATACTAGGGAGGAGTGTACAGAGGCAGATGAACTGAGATGTGGCAGCACACAAAGTCACAGCCATTTTGGGGTGTGGCAGAGGGGATGGGGAAGAAGACAGAAACGTGGTTGTTTTCAGTTGTAGAGTATTGGGGACAGTGCACATATGTGGCCACACCCATGTGTGGCGGCAGTGTTAACATACAACTATGACTGCGCTGAGGCATAGTGGAGGGAAGCATGCAGATGTGGCATGTCAGGCATGACAATGGTGTAGTGTAAAGACATAACTATGCTCAGATGTGGCAGTGAGGGGAGAGGAGGAATGCACAGACATGACTGTGCTGGGGATATGGTAGCATGGCTAAGTGTGTTAGGTGGCAAGGTGCAGATGTGGCTGTAAGAAGGCAAGGCATGATGGAATGGTAAAACTGTATTATAATGTTGAACCACAAGATGGGATCGTGTATGACATGGCTTACTTGAGCTGGTAACAGCTGTACCTGGCAGTGCATTAAAGCATCTGAAAGAGAATACATCTCTTGGTATCTCCCTGATGGAAGTTCTGTAGCCAGTCCAAATCCAGTACAGAAGCCTGACCTACTAGTAGGAGGCAGCCTTGTAACCTACTGTGTACAAGGAGTACACATGACACAGGGAATGCAGACTTAACAGTTGAGGGCAAGGGCAGAGAGAGCATACAGATGTGGGTCATGGGTGTTCTCAGACATGGCCATGGGGGAGTGGACAGACATGGCCATGCTCAGGCATTGCCATCAGGGCCGCCCAGAGGATTCAGGGGGCCTGGGGCAAAGCAATTTCGGGGGCCCCTTCCATAAAAAAAAACTTGCAGTACTATAGAATACTATATTCTTGGGGGTGCCCTGTGGGACCCAGGGCCAATTGCCACACTTGCGCCCCCCCCCCCCCGGCGGCCCTGATTGTCATAGGAAAGGCAAATAGACATGACTGTGCTCAGGCATGGCAGAATGGGAACATACAGACATGGTTGTTGTCAATTGTGGCAATGTGGAGGATGCACATGTGACCATGGGATATGGAGAGTGCATTTAAAACAGTATTTTACTGTTACTCTTTTGTGTCCCCACACTAGTGCCGTGTGACATGCTGAGACATCTACACTGTACCTAGTGATAATAAACCTTGTTATGATTATTATGTATGAATTAATACAAATATATTTGCATAATTTATTTCACTGTTTTTTCCCTGCCTTCAGTTTCCTCAGGGATGGGAAAAGTGGAAGATTCTGTCACTCCTATAGGTGCGAGATCACACCCAAGGCCTAAAAACCATGTGTACGCAATACATAATTTCTGATTGAGGAGAGCCACAGTCACGTCCCTGCCCTGTGCCTCAGTTTCCCCATCTAAAAAATGGGGATGCATTGTCATTAGTTCCTTTATCTAGTCTATTGCTTTGAAATCACAGCTGACAGTCACTATTTAAGAGCTAGGTATTGTTATTATCTAGGCATTGCCTTGATGTGTGCCTTGAATACCCCAGCCCTGGGGAGGGAAGGGCTGAGATGTACCACACAAGCCCCTCTAAAACCCGCACTCTGTTCTGGCAATCACAGCAGATGGATGACGCCTTTTTACCCTGCCACTCTCTATGCCAGGGTTCCACCCCCCTCTGCCACTCTTCCATCAGAGTCCATTTACCCCTTTCTCCCCATCTCCTACACCCTGTCCCCAGTGCTGCCTATCTGCTCCTCCCCTGCTTTGGACTCCTTTTGCCTCCTGCACAAACCCTGACCATCTCCCTCCCGCCTCCCTTTTACTGCCCGCCCCCCAGCAGGTACTGGTGGCAACGAAGGTAGGGCAGCGCCTTCGCCGGCTCGTACTGAGCACGCGCAGGCGGCTCCGGCATGTTCCGGCAAGCTGTGACGGGAGGCCGTTCCTGACATTGCACCGGCCACTGGCGGGATGAGATGACATCAGCTCGGCGGGACGCGCGCAGGCGGGACAACGCAGCAAAGAGGAGAGTGTAAGTGTGGGTCGCTTATTGCGCTCCGCGGAGTAAAGGGGAGGGGCAACTTGCTGAGCCCGGGGGGACAACAAGATGGCGGCTGGCCGGCTCCGTTCCTCTGCCGGAGCCGGCTGCCCCACTCCACCAAGGCGGGCGGGGCGATGGGCCTCTCTCCCCAGCGCTGGGGGCAGCACCTGGGGGGTCCGACAGACAAGGGGTAGCTGGCAGCCTGACACCTGGCTCTGCTGCTGGGAGGGGATGTGGGGCTGCCGCTCATAGGCTGCTGTGGGGCCCCTGCACACAGGGAGGGGAGCGGGCCCGCCCTATAAACTCCTCTACGAGGGACCCTCCCCAAAGCCACGCTCCTACGCAGCGGTCCCTTGGATGGCAGGGGGCTGGGCTGTGATGGGGGGCTCCTGAGTGCGGAGGAGAGAGAGCTCTGCTCAGTGCTTGGGACCCCTTTTCTTAGCACTTACCATGAAGCGAACTTCCCTCGGTTGTTTGGGCTTGGAAAAAATAATTTATCCAGTTGCGCAAATGGTATCTAAATATCTACCACTGGTGTCTGGTAAACGTGATTAGTCTTGTTCAGAGGGCAGCTGGAACCCGGTTATCGATCAAAAGACTTTACCGGTGTTAGGCAGGAGCCACCATGAACTCTTACTTGATCATGTGGGAATTCAGTCTAACCCTCCAAGTACATCTTTAGAACAGCTGCTGTAATTTACGAGTTGATCCAAATCCCAGACTTGTCATCAGCCTAAATTCTGTGGCTGTTCAGTGCACACCAGTTCTGGCATACCGGGCACCAGCTGAATCTTATAGTTAAAGGGGTGCAGTCAATTTAAAATAAATACTTCTATTTCTTTCTTACTAGAGTTACAAGGAACACCTGAGATTATTATACCTGAAAGAGATAGGGGGAAGATTCCTTTGCTTCCTTTATGTATTTGACAGCATTTAATGTATAGTCATTTTCCCTGTTTCTGCTTATGTCCCCTCGTTTTGTTTTGTGAAAGACCTTCACACAGATAAGGGAGAAAGGATAACTTGATTGTAAAATCTCAAAAACTGGCAGAAGGGACTTGAGCAAGAGTATTATTGGAAACTACTTAAAACTTTAACTGATTAGGTTCTAAATTGATAGTCACTTTTTAATGGGCGAGAACGGCTACGGAAATTCTGTTCGATATCTTCAATGATCTAGATAATGGCATAGAGCAGGGGTCGGCAATCTCTGGCACGCGGC